AAGAATGTTTGGTGGTTTATAGGCATTAGTAGTTTCTCATGATAATAAACAATTTTTCCCTCTTCATTCTAGCATAGGTGCCTACACCTTGATAGCACCAAATGAAAACCGAAGAAAGCAGTTACAAAGGAGTATGTATATTTATTTAACATTCAGAAAGCTTCTCATGTTCTTGTAGAGTATAATTGATTTGTTTTGGTCTAAAGTATTTTTATTTTCTGATTTGAATATACTCACTAGATCTCATCAATTTTTTTTCTTTAACTTTAGCAGTTTTAATTCTACCTTTTAAAATTATATACTGTTAATGCTTCTAAACTTGTTTCTCTAGGTTAAAAGCAGAACTCATTGCATGATTATAAATCTTAGATTTCTATTGAGCATAAACAGTTTGCCAACAGACCTTTTGCTCATTCCTGTAAAGTTGGGCTGACTGCAGATATTTTTATAGGACTACTAGAGGCCCAATGCATGAAATTCGAGCAAGGGTAAGCCTTTGCAGCCCTGGCTGCCTCTTGGCCCCTGCCCCCTGCCTGCACCTACCTTGGCCTGGCACTGCTTGCGTCTGCCACCACACAAGTTCCCTAGTTCTGTGGAGCCTCCCGATTGATCACCCCCACCAATCACCCCCCAGCTGGTGGCCTGGGCCTCCCTCTGTGGGGCTATCATGGGGCAATGGCAGGCCCCCTGACCAATTGCATTGCACCCACCTTGGCTGGCCTGGCGCCAGTGCATGTCATAGCATGGTCATCCAGAAGGTTGTTCAGACGATCTTTCTGCTGTTCGGTCGTTCGGTCAATGTGCATATTATGCTTTTATTATTACAGATGACTACTTTCGAGATAGACAAGTTATATACTTAAAATAATTATGTACTTGAAATAACTTGTCTCTTTCTTGATATGTTTTATCCCTTCATAATGGAATTATTTTTAAGCTTCTGTGCTCCCATACTTTTGTAACTATCACAGTCTACTCTGTTATTTTCATTTGTGTAAAGTAAGTATATTCAATTCACATTGTTTATAGGTTCTGCAACTTCAAGTGAAACAATGTATAATAAAACCAATTTTACCATAGACTACTTGATATAAACAAAAGCTAAGTTCCTATGGCATCTCATCAACATTATAATAAAACAACATACTGGAGGACCTGCTGTACTTTAATTTTTTTTTTTTTTAGATTACCACATCTTTGAGGAAGGGACCACACTCTACTCATTTTTGTGGATATTAAGATATTTAATTGAATTGTACAGCAAAATAAATGCTGTCATTTAAAATTATAGCATTATACACTCGAGTTGGAAGAAGAACTAACATTTAGTTCACAAAGAAGTTACGAAACTTGTTCAAGTCAATTGTGGGACTGTCTCCTTTATTAGATCTTTGTAGGAAATTTAATTTTATGATTAATGATGGACATAAGAGCACAACAGGAAAGCAAACTGGTGGTAAAACTGGAGGTTTCCTTTTAATATTCAGTGCAGAATATGACAAATGCTGCTATGTAGTGAGTGGGCACTGCCAACAGTTGACCAACAGAATTCCAAATGTTTTGGCATCTCACAAGCGTTTGATTTAAATACTTAAGTCTCAGTGTGCTCTGGATTTTTGAGGAGTTTCAGAAAGTTTTTTCTCTAATAGTTAAAAAATGTTATAAATGGACATTTGGAACCATCAGGTCTAAGTGGAGATTCCCGCCTGCATTGGAAGTACTGAACTAGTATCTCTGGCGCCCCCTGCTGTCACTGAGTGTATTTTGGGGAATGAACACTGCTCTCCCAAGTGCCAGAAACCAGAGCAGGGTTGCCCACCGGCAGTGCAGAGCTCTCACATTGTATAGTTGCAGTAAGATTTGGGAACACTTAAAATAAAGAATGTGGGCATCAGAATTACTTGGGAATATGTATTTACCTATGTGCAAAAAGCTCTTATTGACATGACTATTCTAGTTTTGCACACATTCTCTAGAATGGGAAGAAAAATCTTTTATTTTCGTAGGAGTTCAGGTTCTTTTCCATATTGAACCTCCTATGCAGAGACATTGCCACAGGGGTGGGCCCAGGGTGACTTCAAGGGGTTAGGACTGAATTGTGTCTTCCTTTCCTGGGTATCTCATCCGCCCATGCCTGCATGTATTTAATTGCCCTCTAATGGTTGTTTTTAATGCCTTAAAGGGACCAGTTTCCTTTTAACATTCTAATGATTGATGACTTTATATTTCTCACTTGGCTTAGTTGCTGAGAAAGAGCTGGAGAACCTGGAGAAGTGGAAGGAGCAACATAGAGCGAAGCCAGTTAACCTGGTACCAAGGAGGCTAGGTAAGCAAGCAAAGCGGTCATCTGGATAGAGGAGGACAGGGCATGTATCAATCCTGTTAGCACCTTGCCTAGGTCTGTCTTTCACTGTATCTTACTTGTGGTTGGGTCACTGTGCTTCTTGGAATGGACTGCATTTAAAATTGAAACAAATATGCAGATATATTGTTGTTTCTAATTTTCTGCAAGTAGCAAACATATGATGCCACACAGTTATGTGGGAATAAAGTGATGACTTAATTGCCAAACAATTTAGAGCCTCTTAGATGATCAACTATGAAGAAATCTTACCTGGGGCGCTGCGTATGCCCCATCACAGCACTAGTCAGGATGGGAGTAAAAACTATCACAAGCGTATGAATTGTGGCTCTTGATGCTACTGGGGAAAAATGAATGGAGAGTCAATTCCAAAACTAAGACAGGAGTGAGCTGGGGGCCCAGGGGTCGGTATAAAGGGAAGCATCCCTTCTGTTTGTATTCTACAGATAGAGACCTTTGGGTCTCTGACACATGCTGCCAGTGTGATGAATTGTCTTGGCTGCCTTTGCCAGTGTTTGAATCTTCCAATGGGAAGGCCACCTAATGGGAATCATTCAGTCCATTCTTCCCTTTTCTTTTCTAGCAGCAGCTAACAACTTAGAGGGCTGGGTACAGTTTCCACAGATCTTGTTAATACAAATGTGTCAAGTAACAAAGGCCACGTGTTGTCACAATAGTTTCAGAAAAATTTTTTTCCAGGATATAGGTAAAAATAAGCTAATTTGGAAATCATTAATGGATGAAAGTAATAGTAACCATACCCCCACTGTGTTTCATGAAAAGGGTTAATCTTAAGTGTAACCTGTACACTGAATAAGCCAGATGTGAGAGGTACAACCAGGAAACAGCTTTGTCCCTTCTAAGTGATTCCCTCAAACCAGCTCTGTGGGACTAGTTTGTCCCTTTAATATTTGGATTAGATTAGCTCTTTTTGATCTTTCTCAACTAATAAAGTTGTTGAGCTAATTCTAGGCATAAAACAGTGTCATTTCAGTAATTAATCTTCAGTCATAGCTACTGGGCAAAATTGTTACTAATAAAGATTAGAACTTCCTCCACGCTCAGCCCAGGTATATTTGGGGTAGAAAGATAGCAAAGGAATTGGGGCATAACGGAATCTTTCTCTCCAGACTGCCCTGTTTCCATATTCTGACCCCTCCAGAGTCAAAGGGAGAAGGGGAGGGAAGGGTGATAGGGGTCTATGGTGCACTGATCCTGGTTTCTTAGTCTTGGTATATACTTACTGTGCATTTCCCCCACTCCCCCCGGGGTCCTTGGAGTTCTTCAGATACCCTCCTTGCCTTCGTTCATCTTTGACCTAGATTTCCCTGGTAGAGATGATAAACGTTCCTTCTGTCACCGCGGCTTCACCATTGGCTCTTGGTAGGTAGACTCTCTCTGTAGGGCTGCATTTGTTTCTCCAGGTGGCTCACATGGGCAAGTCCCTTTAGGACAGCTTTAGATGAACATTCTCCTTCATGACAACTCAGATTGGGAATACAGGAAACACAAACTCTTGGAAAACAGGCCATTTGCCATGCAGCCACCTCTTGTTGATGACCCATTGAGTAGACAACTGACAACAGCCTTTGGGCTCTGACTTTTCTAGGCATTGGTCCACTAGGTCCCTCAGACTCTTGGGGAAATGCATTCAGATCATCAAATGATTTTTCATTCAACATCTCTTGTTCATCTTTACGTGAAGAATCCTCCTTCCCCAAAGACACAGAGAAGATGAATCCACAAAGACATCCTCTGATTTCTACTTCCCTTTGACCTATTCAACCCTTTTTATAGGCTGAAGGTAGTTGTTACTACAAGTTTTCTAAACTTGTTCAGTTACCTCCTTGAAGATCCTGCTTAGGGATCCAAGTACCTTGTTTTGGATTTTGGAATGGTTGGCTACTATTGTCTTCAGACCTTAGCTAAAAAAGGACAGAATCTCATTTTTGACATATCTAGAAATGGCCACAGATATCTGTGTGGAAAGAGGCTAAGGGGTAGGAAAAAAAAGTTCCAGAGTGTATTAAACTTTATGATGATTTTTGAACAAAACCTGTAAATGCTTTGTATACATCTAACTATCTTCATTTATTTTTATTCTCAGCTCTTCCCCTATTCCCCTACTCTTTAAAATATTGGAATAGTTTGAGGAGATTCTAAAAATGGCTGAAACATTATATAAAAGCTTTAATAGCCCTCACTTTTTCTTTCCCTTTCCTCCATCCCCCACAACAAAGACGAAAGGGCCCAAACCAAACAGGCTTTACATATCTTTTGGGACTCGGATGAGAAGTCCCTATGGTGTCTTTATCAGTTCAATTATAAAAACTATGGTGATGCAATTTGTTTTAATGCATCTTCTGTGAGAGGGAATCAGAGAACTGACACATTTAGTGACCAAAACAACAGAGAATTATCTCGAAGGGATTTTTATAATACACATATCATGCTTGCATAAACACTAAGAAATCCCTAAATAGCAATTCTTACTAGTAGATGATTATCAAGCTGCATTCTGGCTCCTAATTATTTTAGGTTTAAAGAGGGAGCAGGCAAATAATCTAACATTCATATATTTTTCATGAATACCTACAGAAAGAACAATAAATAGTATAGATTGACAATCAATTACGAATAATAATATTTCTACTGTACTTTTAAAAACTGGGTTATAAGACCCCATATTTGTTTAGTGGCAAGAGCCCTGAGGGTTTCCTGAGCTTTGCCACTTGAATCAGGACAATCGGGTCAGAAGAAGAAAAGCAAGTGAAGCATCGTTGATAATAATCCTTATCATGGTTAAGAAATGGTCATACTTAAGCAGGAGGAATGTTCTAGAATTTCCAAAACAAGCAGTATTTCTTATTATTTAGTATGGAACTTGTGGCATGATTTCCATCTAAAGGAAAACTTGAATATTGGCACAACTGGAAAACTCAAGTAGGATTGTCCTGTTCTTTTAGGAATATGGTCTATCTGTCTAGCTCTGTCTATCTTTTAAGTGATGGCCATTATTTAATGTCTTATTAAGAAAACTGGTTATGTCCTTATTTCTAGAGGTATAAAAATGTTAAAGAAACTCATTGTGTAGTCATATCATGTATTAATTAGTTTTTGATGGCTGACATTTCAGGTTAACATTCAAGTTTCAACTTTGTGACTTTTTTTTCCTTAGGTGGAAGCCAATCAGAGGCTGAAGTGAGGCAGAAACAACAACTCCAACTGATGCAATCTAAATACCAGCAAAAGGTCAGAATCCATCTCTTTTAGTTTAATTTTGGCAAGGAATTTGAGCACCAGCACTTTCTAGTAACTATGAAATAACACAGTAACTTACCAGAAACATAAAACCTTTCAAGCAATTGCAAAAGGGAACTCTCAAAGGCAAAGAAATCAGGAGCTGAAGAGAGATACATCTAGAATTTCCATCCAAGCCATACATTAGCCAACAGCACCCCTGGTTCAGGGATTTTTTCCTAGTTTAACTCTACTATGCTTTGAATATTTTGCTTTCAACAACATGGATTTGTTTACTGGATAGCAGTCATGAAAGTATTAAAAAAAGAAAATATTTAAGGCACTTAGTGATTTTTTTACAAGGCACGTCATGAGTTTTATAATCAGGGAAAATTATCTGCCCATGCTTTTTCCTCCCCAACCCAGATTGGGGGGTGGGGTGAGGGGGGTGGGGTGGGAGAAGACAGATGGAGACCAAGGAAGAAATACAAAGAGAAATTTCATAGGCAGGAGAAGTAGCCTGGCCAATCTCTGTGCTCTAAGTACTTGAAATACCAACCTATAATCATGGTGAGGTAGAGCACAAACAATACTGTAATTTGCCTTTCATCATAATTTTGTGTTCTAGAGATTCAGACTGAAAAATAGTAACTGTTTTTTGTCCTCTGTAATCTCAATACATTTTAGCTAAAAAGAGAAGAATCTATAAGAATCAAGAAGGAAGCTGAAGAAGCTGAAATCCAAAAAATGAAGGCAATTCAGAGAGAGAAGGTAAGATAGCGGAGAAGATGATTAGTTAATGTTGACTGAGGGTATTTTATGTGCCAGGTTCTCTTCTAGACATGGTCATGTACAAACTCATTTAATCCTCACAATACGGTAATCCTACGAAGTACACATTATTCTTATTAGCCAAGTTCACAAATGAGGAAACTGACACAGAGAGGGTAGATAATTTGCCGAGGGCTCACAGCTGGTAAATAGAAGTACGATTCAAATCCAGGCTGATGGGCCTCAGAGCTAGAGTTCTTAGTCACAACACTATCTTGACTCTCAGGCAAGTGATCAAAGTAGTCACTGTATATTTGGCTATAAGCAAAGCAGTTAGTAATAATGGCAATTAGCAGTGGACCACCATATTTATATCCAAACTAGAGGCCTGGTGCATGAATTTGTGCACAGGTGGGGTCCCTCGGCCAGGCCATTGATCAGGGCCGATAGGAACCAGCCGGGAGCAGGGGGTGTGGGAAGGGGTCACGGGAGGTTGGCTGGCTGTGGGAGGTTGGCTGTGGGAGTGCGCTGACCATCAGGGGATAGCTCCTGCATTGAGCAAATGCCCCCTGGTGGTCAGTGCACATCATAGCTACTGTCCAGTCATCCAGTTGTCCGGTTGTAATGGTTGCTTATGCTTTTATATATATAGATACTGACTTTTCCAGGATGAATGCAAACGAGGTGAACATACTCTCTTACTGATAGAAGAGAAAATGTACATTTGCATTTCAGTATTAGGGATATGATCCAAACCTCAAAGTGTTTTTAGTGTTGATACTTATTCTGGGTTTGGGGAAATAAACCTCCTAAACTTGTTCATTTGCTAGAGAAGGAAGAATGTAGTGTTATTCCCCCTTACTCCTGTCTCCTACTGTCATTCCTCACAAAGCCCTAAGCTGTAGTAGGTTTTAAGTGCTGAAGGTTTAGGGGAAAGGGTTTGACTCATGATACTGACTACCAAGTATGACACCTGCTGCAGGTGTAAGTCATGGAAGCACAGGTGCTATTCCCGCTGTCTGTGTCTCTCTCCCCCTCCTTCTTTTCTCTTTTTCTTTTAAAGATTGAGTGTTGGTCAAGATCTAAACCTGGTTACCAAACAATAAATATTTTTACCAGTTAGAGTTCATGAAGTCAAAAGCTGATGACTTAGAGAATGTGTGAGAGAATATGAGCCTTTTCTTCCCCTGAGGACCTTCTACCTGCTGGGGAGCAGACTGAGTTTTTTTTGGAAGTGTCCTGTTGTGCTGTGTGACCTTGAGCATGCTGTACCCCTCCCTCAACTATTCCTGTAAAATGAGTCTATAAGCCCCACCTCCTCTTCTCCCAAGGCCCAGTAGCATCTGTAGATTTCAATGCTATATCTGTAGAGGTGTTGGTGCAGGGGAGGAGATAAGACTGGACTTATGCATGTGGAACTGTAGTGAAATGCTGGAGGTATAAGAAAAAAACATATAGGAACTTGGTTTACAAAGTTTGATTCAGTAATCTATTTCCAACGGATCAGCCATTATACCTTCACTGAAAACATCTTTATTACAATAACATTTTTAACCCATCTTTCTCTCTTTCTACTTCTCTATTTCCTACTCCTTTTTTTTTTTATCCAACTCCCCTCCCCAATTTCCTCCTTCAAAGGAAGATTCACACATTGGTCTTGTGCTTGTAGAGGAGTGTCCCCTCACATAGAACAAGTCTATGTGCATTGCAGGCAGAACTAAAAAATCATTAAATCATTACCAGGAACTGAATGAAGAGGTGTGCAGATCCCGAAGAATTATTGTGTTGCAACCTTTTAACCTAAAAGTCATTTATTAGTTGTCATTTAATATCCAGAACCGACTGGCTTGTGGGTCATTTATAGCCCATTTCTTCACGGCTCAAGTAATGTATACAATTTAGAAATGTTAGTGGCTGAAATGGTTTCCTTTAAAATTGAGTAAAAGCAGCATTTTCCTACTTCCAAGTTATACCATAACACTAGCTGTCCAGTAATCACTAACTATAAAATTTTTAATTGGGTTGGCTTTTATAATATGACTAGAGGCCTGGTACATGAAATTTGTGCACTGGAGGTTGTCCCTCAGCCCAGCCTGCACCCTCTCCAATCTGGGTCCCCTCGGGGGACATCCCTCTCACAATCCGGGACTACTGGCTCCTAACTACTCACCTGTCTGCCAGCCTGATCACCCCCTAACCACTCCCCTGCCGGCCTGATTGACGCCTAATTGCTTCCCTGCTGGCCTGATCACCCTCAACTGCTCTCCCCTGCAGCCTGATCACTCCCAACTGCCCTCCCCTGCTGGCCATCTTGTGACAACATGGGGGTGGACATCTTGTGACAATGTGGGGGTGGCCATGTTTTGACAACATGGGGGTGGACATCTTGTGATGACGTGGGGTGGCCATCTTGTGCTGGCCATCTTGTGATGACATGGGGGCGGCCATATTTTGACAATGTGGGGGTAACCATCTTGAGATGTGAGGGCATGAGGGTTAATTTGCATATTACCTCTTTATTATGTAGGATAACTGTAATAATTATTAGTATAAATTTGCCTGAAAGTGTGAGAAGGGAAGACAAGAGTTGATATGTATGTCCTTTCCATTCAAAATGTGGTCCCAACTAGCAGCACTGGCATCACTAGTGAGAAATGCAGAATCTTGAGCCCCACCCCAGACCCTCTGACTCAGGACCTGCACTTTCACAGGCTCTCCAGCTGATCCTCACGCACATAAACATTTGGGGAGCATTAATATAAACTACCTTACAAGAGAATGAGCAGCACACCCGGGTCCTTCCTTGCACAGACTTGATTTCCTGGCTAATTGGCCTAGTGTTTCTTGTTGTATATAAATCTGTGGCTTTCATACTAAATGTGAGCATATTCAGCAGCTTGCCTCAGATGAAAGAAAAATGGACATTAGCCATCTAGAAATGGCATACTTCACATTGCCGTGTGAAAATGGCCAAGGGAAGTTATAATGGCTATACTTACGGAGCATTTGTTTTTAAAAATGCACAAAAAACACACTCCTGAACACCAGCCTGCAAAATATTGTCCTCCTCCCCTGGCAAATGGCTGCTGTCCAGGAACTCTGAGCCAAGTAGAATCCAAGAAGCCCATGGCCACCTGAAAGCCTCTAGCTTGGCCTCAGGTCTTCACCCTCTTCCATTCCTCCTGGGTCTCTTTCTAATTGGTCAGCATCTGTGAACAAATGAGGAGAGAGTAAACTGCAGTCTCTGCCAACACATGTGGGTAGCCTTTGGTCCTTAATAAGCCCAGGAGTGTGATTGGCAGCCAGATCTTTAGCAAGTGGGCCCAGGTAGGTGGGGCCCAGGAGAAGTTAATTCTAAGGGTGAAGGGAGGACTTGCAGAGATGCTAGTATGCTTCAAACGCATGTTCCCTATACTAGAGTATGCTGGTGCTATGTAGTCTTCCCAGGTGTGCTGGAGCCTCTTTGTTCAGGTTCAAGAGAGTGAATGGTTACATTCTCAGAATTTTTTTGAACTAGTTGGCTTTATGTTGGGAGCTTGAAACTAACCATGTGGGAGTATTTTCACCATGGAAAGCAGTAAATAACTTTTCTCAGACTTTCATAATGCCCACAATCCACTTGCCTTCCTCATCCCTGCTAGAGCCAGTTGTTAAGTTTATCAGCTTAGTCCTAAATGAAACAAGTTCTCTCTACCCTCCCCTACCACCCACATTTCAAAGCCAAGCCTCAGAGGGCTAAGGAGGGCAAGGATTTTGTGAAGTATCTGCCACATTATGTGTCTAATACTTATTTATTTAACAATAGATTTAACCCATGTGGTAGGCAGGATATTGCCCTCTTCCTGTCCCTCCACATTCTGATCCCTGGAACCTAGGACTGTGTCATGTTACATAGCAAAAGGGGATTAAATTTGCAGGTGGAATTAATTTTGATAATTGACTTACCTTCACATAGGGAGAGTATCCTGCATTATCTAGGTAGGTCCAATGTAACCACGAGGGTCCTTAAATTGGAAGAGGGAAACAGATGATTGAGAGCATGGAAGGATGGGAGCAGGAGAAAGGTTTAGCCTGCCATTGCTGGCTCTGAAGAGGGAGGGAGAGTCTCTCTAAGGAGGTGGAAAAAGCAAGGAAACAGATTCTCCTCCAGAAGGAAGGCAGACTGCAGGCACCTTGATTTTAGCCCAGTGAGACCCATTTTGGACTTCTGACCTCTAGAACTGTATGATATTAATAATGTCTGTTACTTTAAGGCACTGTTTGTGGTGAATTGTTCCAGCAGCAATAGGAAGTTAATACAACTCGTGTGGTTTTATAATGATGTATTAACGTCTCTTCCTGGAAATCTGTAAAGCAGAGAAAATGTCTCTAAAATATTTAGAGCATCAGAATGGAAGAAAGTTATTAAAAATAATAAAACGGCAGCATACCAGATGCAACTGCTTTCTTTGCCACTGGATTTTACAGCACAGGTAGACGAGTTTTCATAAATCCTGGCAGCAGCGTTTCACTGGAATTTAGTGCTGTGGGAGTAAACCTCCACCATGCTTTCCCCTCATGATAACCCCTCATTTTTCTCAACTTTTATATTGCCCACAAACTTAAAAGTGAAAATCTTTCAATTCTATGTAAAAGACACTCCCGACCTCCTGGGTTCATCTTATTCTGCCTTCAAGCTACTTGTGCTTGAAATAATATTATAAAGTGCTATATGGTTTAAAAATACTTTCCCTCAATTCTCCAAACCTCTTGGGGTATCATAACCTCAAAAAGGGCAAGAAAACAGGGAGAGATCTTAGTGGCATCCAAAGCCTTTTCTTGTTCTTTCCAATAAACCATGAAGTCATATTTGGAACACAGGAGGTCACAGTGTTTTATGCAGACAGTAGGAACTGTTATTATTTTTAATGCTATAAAGTGAAGTGGGAACTCACCAGTAAAAAATAAGGTGTACATATCAGATGCAGAGATGAATGCATAGACATATTTTTAAGGAACCA